AATGGGCAGCCTGAATTTCTCAGCAGGGTAGTTCCTGAGTTCTGTGGGTGAAGCATCTTGAGCAAACTTGCGTCAAATGCATGAGCGGACACATTCCCTGAGCAGGGGCTGTCTGCAGGGAGTCCGTAAACTAGATTCCAGCTCTCCTTCAGAGGTGGAGCACCCAGGGAGGATAATGAGCTTGCTATATATAGTGAGGACACTGTCCTGAACGGGGACACGGAGGGGGCCGTCTGCATACCTAGCATTTAGGTCATGCAAATGGATGGTCTGAGAAAACCTTGTTATTCTTGGACCTCAGGAGTCTGTCTTTGGTTTCCTGAGGCCAGTCCTGAAGTTCAGGGGATTCAGCAGCCACCTCTGTCCTCGAAATTGAAGGACAGGTTATTTGTTTTATACTTCACTGCAGAATTTTAAAAATGCTGTTTCGCATTTCACTGCTAGCGAGGCAGAGGAAAGAACCAGACTGCCTTGTTTGTCCTCCTCGTCCTGCGTTCTGGGGAGAAGCTGTGCAGGAGTGGTGAGGACCACAGGCTGTGGGTGTCTAGGACATCCTGGTCTTTGGGGTTTGACCGATTTGCAGGGGGTAACAGCAGAAGAAATGAATGGGGATGAGGTGAGCCTGTTCCATTAAGGCCCCCATCCTCCTGCATAAGCCTCAATGGGTATATAGATTTTGACGGTTCTGTTGTATTTATCTTATCACCGGTCAGACTTGCAACACTGATTTCCCCCAGAAGTGCTCTGTGTACCCTTGACGGTGGGGGTGGGTGGAGAGAAATTATTTAAGAGCCTCAGAATGCCTGGCACCTAGTAGTCCTCAGTGCCTTCATCAGTAAGTGAATGCATGAGCAATCAGTACCTCCATACAACAAGCAATTTATTTGTCCTCCCTTCTATTTATAACGACCCAGAGCTTGGGGCTTGGGTGGCAGCAGATTCTTTTTCTCACTCTGAATAATAAGGCAAATCATTTAACCTCTTTGGAACGCCGGGGCGTGCTGAGGGTGGGGGGTGGACCGTGTGGGGGTGGTGACGACTGTCGTGAGCTGGAAGTGGATGCCCGCCCGGAGCCTGTGGCCGTTCCTCCAGCCAGAGGGACCAGGGACCAGCGAGCAGGGACCCGGAGGCCTGTGGGGATGCCGTGGCTCTGCAGATGCCGTTGACAGTGCTTTGAAGGATTGCTTTGGCCGGAGACCTACTCCTCAGCCTGCCTCCTCTATGACTCATTCTGGCTGCATATTTTGGTAGCTGGAAAGATCGAGATGAGATGAACGAAGCATTTCTTAAGAGTGGGAGCTCTTAGGTATTAGATCAGCACTGCAGATGTATGATGTTCTTTACAGGTCACAGATACAGGCTTTTTTTTTTTTTAATTATTGAGATGAAATTCACGTGGCATTAACCCTGTTCGAGTGAACGATGGCGTGGCATGTGGTGCTTTCACAGTGTTCTGCAATCATGACCCCTGCCTAGATCCATCACTCTAAAATAAAACCCCAGACCTGTGAGATGATTACTCCCGATGTCCCTTGCCCCCCAGCCCCTGGCACCCACCAATCTGCTTTCTATCTGTATGGATTTACTTATTCTGGGTCTTCCATGTAAATGGGATCATGCAACACGGTGACCTTTTGTGTCTGGCTTCTCTCAGTAGCAGAGTGGTTTTGAGGTTTGTTCACGTGGTGGCATAGATCAGATTGTAGGGTTTTAACAACTCTCCCAAATACCCGAAGACAGCCCCTCCCCAAACTACCACCAGTCTGATCCCAGGGACTGCCAGTAGGAAAAGGAATGGACTAGATCCATCGCTCCCAGATAAACTGCATTATGGACACCTGGAGCGTTTCTCTTAAAAATATGAGTTCCTGGGCTCCAGGCAGAGAAGGATCTGCGTCAATAGGTCTGGGGTGATTCTGTTATCTGGGTTGGGGAGCCCCAGACTGGGTGACCCCCCCCCCCAGGGCATTAATGACCTGCCTGTAAGCCTAGCTGAGGCCTCAGGTACCTCCCAGACACTATTGGTTGTTTATGGTGCAGTTTCTGTGCACGGGGATTTCTGTGGCATGCGATTTTTCTCTGCCTTCTGAGGGGAGGCCTTGGGCCCCTGCCTGCTTGCTTTTATGGCTCCGATTAACTGGGTTCCATTTATCAAGCCTCTTTTTTTTTTTTTTTTTTTTAAGGTGTTTCACCAAGCCTGCCTTCGGTTTCCTTTGTAAGAAAGCCCTTGGACGTTCTGATGCTTGTCCTTTGCGCTGCCCTCACCCCTTCACCTCTGTTAGGATTGCTTGAGGGGCTTCATAAATCTCACGTCCTTTGAGGAGAAAGACTTCAGCAAGTAGCATTGAGACCTCTTTCCCACTCTCATCACCGGAGGCTTTGTAACCTGTTCAGAGTGTGATTTGATTGTCACCTGTCAGGGGGACCGATCTGAGGTTGCCCTAGTAGAATACTCGGGGGGCTCTTTTATCCTAGGCCCTAAGAACTCGGGCAGTTCTTCAGGTGATGAATCCTTTATCGTATCGATGTTTGCATATGTTCACTATTTATCCCCCTCTGGTCCTAAGGGTGAGAATGTTTTTGGAGGGGAAAGACTTTTAGCCTGACTTCCCGGGGCACTTGTGCTTATGGGGTTTCTGATTTGTAGATGCCTCTAGATTCTTCCCAGAAACGTGAGCTGGAGGGGGAGAGGTGGGAGGACAGGAAGGCTGGAGTAAGGCATCGTCAGCGGCTGGTGGAGATTCCCTTCGCTGCTTCTCCCCGGTAGCATCCTAGCTTACATGATTTCCTTATTTCTATTTTTCGTTTGTACTTCTCTCTTGATGGATGCGCGCCTGGACTCCTCTCTGGGAACAAGAAGGAAATTTTTCTGAAAAACACCGGAGGCCTTTTTCTTTACAGAGGTCTCCTTTCAGATAGTTTTCCAAATGCATTTGGATCCTGATCAAAATAAATGCAGGCACGTAAGAGCCGAAGCAGAGTAGTTAAGGATTAGCTCCTTTGTCGTCTTGTCTGCCAAGTTGGTGGCACAGGTGTTTCCCTTCTCCCTTATGACATCTGAGAGCACCCCAGGGAGGGGGTGGGGAACGTTAGGGCAGTGGGTGGCAGGGTGAGGAACAGAAAGGAGGTGTGGGGAGGGTTTTCTACTGCAAAGCCTCCATAGGCAGGCGGCTCAGAGGGCACGTCAGCTCAGGAGGTGAGGCCGGTAGGAGGATACGCAGGTGGGATTGTGCAGAGGCTCCCTGGAGCCCAGAAGCTTGACGTCCTTCTGCATGTGCCCTGGACAGCTGAGGTTGGAGAGGCTTCTCCCAGACACCACTCAGCAAGAGGGAGAGTGCACACTCCTGGCTTCTGGGGGGACTTTGTCCTGCTGCTGATGGCTAATAGCAGCGCTCAGAATTGTTAGTCTGGTCATCAGTTTGCTCTTCACACAGAGAGGGTGAAATGTTAGCTCAGGGCCTCTGAGATGCCAGCCCTAGAACTGTCCATCGACGTCGGGCGAAAGAGGAAAAAATAAAAGGAATGGAGTCGGCTTTTCATAAAGCAAAACTGTCTAAAAGAACCATCGTCTTTTATTCCGACATAGATCCTCATTCAGCTTTTGGTGTTAAATGATCCTTTCTCACAATAATAATGGTGGTTGTGGTGGTCCTATTGCTTAGGAGGACTAGCTGCGTAACGGACAGGTTCCAGAACTGGGCTCAGTGGTGTAAAGGTCTTCCTCTCAATTGTGAGGAGCTCAAAGCAAGTGTTACTGGTTAGGGGATGGCTTTCTTTCTTTCTTTCTTTCTTTCTTTCTTTCTTTCTTTCTTTCTTTTCTTTCTTTCTTTTGATTTTATTTATTTATTCATTAGAGACACACACACACACAGAGATAGAGGCAGAGAGACACAGGCAGAGGGAAAAGCAAGCTCCATGCAGGGAGCCTGATGTGGGACTCGATCCCGGGTCTCCAGGATTAGGCCCTGGGCCGAAGGCAGCACTAAATTGCTGAGCCACCTGGGCTGCCCAGGGATGGCTTTCTCACTGGGGACGGGGGGACCTTCCTTCTTGTGCGTTCTACTCTCTCCTGGGACCCTGGAGCCCTGAGTAGAGCCTGCATTGGAGAAGAACTGGCAGGGGCTGGGGCTGGTTCCCACCTTCCCTCAGGTTCGTGGACAGAACTCAGTCCCAGGCTGCACTCACCACAAGGCAGCCTGGGCACGAGTCTACTGGGTCCTCAGGGAGCAGAGGAAACCGGTCCAGAGAACAGCAGGTCAGGCTGTGACACAGTGGCTCTTTTGGTTATTGTCTTTACCTGGTGAAATGGACTTGGCCAACCAATCCTCTGTTGGCCTTTCTAATTTATTTTCATCTTGCCAGTTTGCAAAATCCAGAAGTCTGGGAACGACTGTGAGCAATAATCCAAAGGTCATTTTCTGTGGCGTCCTGGAAGGTATTTCCTTACTTGGGGCACTTCAAAACTAATGAAATAAAACTCTGCCCGTGATTTTTTTTTTTTCCTTTTGTTCCTCCTTGTTAGGGGCTCGGGATGAGCCATGTCACCTGTCGGCCAGACAGAGCACCAGTTTGAACGGGGGTTTGAAAGCGTGTGGTCTTTCTGGCCTGTGCGCTTTTTCTGAATGAGGAAGATGTGTCACTGTTTTGGTTTTAAGCCTTGGGAGGTGCGTGTCCCATATACACATTACAGGGATGAAAATAACCAGCGATTGGTGATGCAAAAGACAAGAATAAAGTCATTGGTTATGCAGAGAGAGCCTGAGAAGATTTTTTGCAATCCGTTTATATCCAAAATAGCGGGGAATTCGTGTTTCTTCTTGGGGAAGTTGTGTCTTGTGGAATCTGTGCTGGAGGAAAAATAGACCACCCTGGCCCAATGCTCCAGATCTCAGAATCTTGGCTATTTCTGAGTGATGAGGAGAGAGAGAGTCTTGCTTTGGAATATCATGGTCCTCACCCATCATGGGTCCTAACTCCTGTGTCGGTTTCATCTGTTTCAGGTGAGTCTGAATGACTCCCACAATCAGATGGTGGTACACTGGGCCGGAGAGAAAAGCAACGTGATCGTGGCCTTGGCGCGGGACAGCCTGGCACTGGCAAGACCCAGGAGCAGCGATGTAAGTACCGGGGTTGGTCTAGGCCTCCTGTGTGACGCCAGGATGCCCTCCTGGAATCTGGCAGGGTTATCATGCCAGCAAAAAAATAGCGGCTAATTGGAGAATGAATGGATACATCCAATGGGATACATTCTACAAGGAAGAGGATCTGGAACATAATAAATACAACTTGTTTGCTGAACAGAGGGTGGTGCAGTTTTGTGAGGAGATCCACGTGATGCATGATGACTTTTGTGAAGTGATAGGGTTTGATCTGGATCGTTGTGTTTGCTCTGCAAGATGCCTGAAGCGCGTTCTGGGTAGATCTGCCCGGCTGCCGCAGAGACCCATGGGACCCCTTACAGTTGGGTGGTTTCTTGAATCTGATGCGGTCTTATTCTCACTTTTTTTTCTTTTAAGATTTTATTTATTCACGAGAAACACAAGGAGAGGGAGAAGCAGGCTCCCTCCGGGGAGCCCGATGTGGGACTCAATCCCAGGGCCCTGGGATCACAATCTGAGCCAAAGGCAGACGCTCAGCCACTGAGCCAACCAGGGGCCCCTATCCTCAATTTTCATGGTTGACCTTCTGTAGTGTTTAATAGTTCAGGTACTTTGAAGATGTGAGACCAAGGGTCACAGACTCCAAGACCTGTGGGAAACCAGGTGGGTAGCGGCAGGGGAAGCTGCCTCCACATTCAAAGCAGTCTTTCTTCCACATAGGAAAGTGGTCTCTCCCATTCTTCTTGAGCTCTATGGCCTTCTGGGACAATGTGTCATTTTCCTGCTTTGGTGGAGATACAGGTTCAAGAAGCATTCACCTGTATGTAATTTGAGTGTGGTGATTGAGCCTGGTCTCTGTGTCCAGCAGACACTGGGAAGGAGAAAGGACTTTGATGCTTGCGAGGGGCTGCTGTTCATCCTGACTCTGGTTGCCACATAGGGCCCAGTGGTGTTAGATCTGATTTCCGAGAGAAGCTCAGAGGTCTGGGATTTTAGGTGAAAACTGCTGAGTCTTACCAGTTGGCAGCTAATATGTAGTCTTTACAAATATCTGGTGAGCCAAGTACAATACGTACGAGGGCCAGAGCCGGTCCTTGGGTCCCAAGTGCGCAGCCCCTGCTCCAGACTTCCCCTTATGGGAAGAGGAACAGCCCCGGCCTTGGGTCAGGGACTGCTGTGGTGGCAGGGTGAAGCTGCGAGCAAGGAAACACACTATAGAGCTTTGTTCATTCACTCTGCGCTCTGGCCAGAGGAAACCCCCTGGTGGATTTGCTAGCGTGGTCACATTGGCCTGAAGGACACACTTGCGGCTCTTGGGTATGGATTTGGTCTCTGCGAGGTCCCTCTCTGCGTATCCGCTGTCTGAGTTGCCTGTGCTCTGAGATGTGGGTGTTGGGAGGGAGCATGGGGGGCTGTTGACTAGTGGGTTCAGTGGGGCAGCCACAGGCAGAAGACAGTAGAAGGGCTACTATAGTGCCCAGCTTTGTCCAGTGTGGCCGCGGAGCAGGGGCTGGTGGGAAACCACTGTCACTGACAGCCAGTTTGGATATAGTGCTCGGGAGCAGGGCTGGACTTATTTGAGGCAGTGGCTTTGGCCTGTTTATTTATTTTAAAGATTTTGTTTATTCATGAGAGACACAGAGAGAGAGAGACAGAGAGAGAGGCAGAGACACAGGAAGAGGGAGAAGCAGGCTCCCTGCAAGGAGCCTGATGTGGAACTTGATCCCAGGACCCTGGGGTTACAAACTGAGCCAAAGCAGACACTCAGCCACTGAGCCACCTAGGTGTCCGTTGGCTCATTTATAAATGCGATTAGTGCAAGCACAGGTGGCAGCATATAGATGCTGTTGGTCCCATGAGGTCCATAGGCACCTGTGTCTATACTCATCAGCAGTCACAGCCTGTACACCTGTACATAGCTACCCTTTTTGAGCACAGGAAATTGCTATGTGCCCTACTGTGTTGAGAAATCCACCTTAGGTTTTCTTTTACGCCTAAAAAATTCTTTGTCTAGATAGTTTTTTTTTTTTTTTTTTTATGAGACAGGTAAAAGGCTTTAACCACTGTTTTATGGCTTTGCTGGACAAACAGGAGCCTCGAGACATTCAGTGTCCTGCCTGAGGTCACACAGCGTGGCTCATGAGAGTCGATCACGTGCCCGCTGTGTGAGGGTGTCGTGTTGCTGGCATGACCCATGTGTCTGAGCCCTGCATCCTGGGAGCTTTCTCAGGCCGGGGTGAACCAAGATGGTTGGTCTCCCCAGGTATTGCCAGTCTGCCCAAACCCCTTTCTCACTCTAACTATTTGGATGTACCTAACTGAGGAGTCATTGAACATTTGTTGTGATACAGCATTCTGTAATGAAATACACGATAAGATTACACGGAAAGGAAACGCCATGCTTGGAGATAATAGATGGGAGTGGCAGAGATTTCCCCCGTCCGTACACAAGCTGCATTAAAGACTTGGCAGCTAAAACGGAGATGTTCTGATGTGAAAAAGTTAACGCAAAAATAAATTATGACTCAGAGGCCGGAGTTGGTGGTGCCGGCATAGTAGCAATCCCGCTTTTCTTGAAGGAAGACTCAGAGCATGGTTCGTAAGGCCCCATCAGCAGTCCAGAAGGGAAGGGACCTGTGTAAGTGAGGAACTCTCTGTGAGTTGGAGAATGGCCAAGTCATGCATATTCAGTGTATAAGAAAGGGGATGGATCTGGAAACTGGAATCCCGAAAGGTTTGCTTTTCAAAAGAAAAAAAAATGAATAATGTCCTGATGAACTCGTTGCAAGTCTGATTCCATGAGGAATGGCAACTGCATTCCGAAAAGAATGCCATCTTTTCCTTCTGCTAAGTCTGGTAGATGAAAGGAGACATCTACTGAAAGGAGACAGTAGGTATTGTTTATCTCGATCCTACCCATGTCTTTGTTTCTGCCCTCTCCTGACATAGTTTGCAAGGTACTCAGGTGCAACATAATTGGCCAAGGAGCTCTCCAGAGATGGTGTCCACGGGAAGACCAGACCCAAACCAGGGAAGGCTTCAGGAATGGTAGGACTCGCTGCCTTTGCACCCAGAGTGGCGTGACATTATGATTGATGCCCCCCTGCCTGCCCCCCAGGATCGACTGGGGAGCAGGGCCAGTACTTGCTAGCTTGCTAACAGGGCGGAACTGGGTAGCCCGTGGAGCTGGTGTCTGGCTGAGCTCTGGCTCTGAAATCACAATGCCTGGGGTTGAATCCTGGCTCTGCTGTTCATTAGCAGTCTGACCTTGAGCCAAGTCATTAACCTTCTGTTGGTCTTCTCATCTATCAGTGAGATGGTGCTTATAAAACCTTGCTCCCCAAAGTATGGTCTGTGGATTAGTAGCCAGGGGCGTTTCTGGGAGCTGGTTAGAAAGGCCGAATCTCAGGCTCTTCTCCAGATGCCCTGAGTCAGAGTCTGCATTTTGACCTACGTTGTGCTGGATGACTTGTAGGCATATTACTGATTTTTTTTTTTTTAAGATTTTATTTATTCGTGAGACACACACACAGAGAGAGAGGCAGAGACACAGGCAGAGGGAGAAACAGGCTCCCTGTGGGGAACCTGATGTGGGACTCGATCCCAGGACTCCAGGATCACAACCTGAGCAGAAGGCAGATGCTCAACCACTGAGCCACCCAGGTGCCCTGGGTATTGCTGTTTGAGAACCACTGGTGTGAAGGACTCAGAACGGGGCCAGATAAGGACAGGTTTCCGTACATTTCAACCCTTCTTTCCTTCCTCCCCGTATCTGCTGTCCCTTCTGCCATTTCCCCTCCTTGCTTCTCTTCCTTCTTGTTATTATTACACTGTATTAAAATACAGGATAAAGAATTTAAAACCACTCACCTGGGGGTACCTGGGTGGCTCAGAGGTTGAGCACCTCCTTCAGTCCAGGACATGACCCCAGGGTCCCGGGATCGAGTCCCACTTCAGGCCCCTGCAGGAAGCCTACTTCTCCCTCTGCCTGTGTCTCTGCCCCTCAATCTCTGTGTCTCTCATGAATAAATAAAATCTTTAAAGAAAAACTCACTCACATGGAAGGGCCAACTTTATAGGTGAGTCCGTGATGTAAGTAGCTACTCTAAACTAGCTAGTGACTAGTTAGTGACTCCTCCTATTCTTTAGGGAGTAAGTAGTGTCTTAGAGAAGTCGGAGAGGACTGCTCAGTGCAAAAACCTGTGCCCAGACAAGGAAAAACACTAATGGAATCAGAAAATGAGCAAGTATAGGATGTTTGCCTAGATTCCCCTAGAGATCATAGTGGGCAGTGAGCCAGCAACCTAGTGCTCCCTGGGGACTGAAGCACCACACCTGGGGTGCGGTGTGGAGGCCATGAGGCCGTCAGCCCACCTGGCATTGTCTGAGCAGGGTGGATAGCTCTGCACAGCCCTGAGCTTGGTGTTTGCCGTATGGAGCTTAGGATCTAGGTTAATCCAATAAAAATAAGAATTATGAGGACAGGATAAAAATATGCATTGGGATTGTTTGGCCTGGGAAGAGAAGGGAGGTTGATGGGTCATTTACAAGAGTCTTGAGGCATAGGATGGACCCCTGCATGCTTGCTCTTTAGGACTTTTTACGTGTAAGTCCTAAAGGGATGGGGATCATTTATGGGTGCGTATTAAGGGACAGCTTTTTGAGACTGAGGACTGTTGTATCTCTGAGTGTGAGTGTGGCTGAGAATCTCAGGAAGAATCTGTGTTTTGTTAAAGTTTGTGTTGTGCCCCTTCTTTCCTGCACTCCTTCCACTGCCTGGCCTGGAGACCCAGTATATATGATCTTCCCTTTTACCAGAGCAGCATACGTCTGTACAAGAGAGCGTTCTCCCAGAAGGGTGACTTGGCAAGAGTGGGAAGACAAAGGGGCCAGGGACTTGAACCCATTATCTTTTGTCACTTCCTAGCCGTATGACCTTGGGATGCTCATTAACTTCTCTGAGTCTTGGTTTTACCATCTCTTACCTGGAAATAATTCATTCACTCACTCACTCACTGATTTCATTCATGTCACTCTCTTTTTGTTCGTCTATGGGACACATTCATTTACGTTGCTCTGTGGTTTATAAGTGACGTTTAATTCTGGAAATCTTTACTGAGTAGGTGCGATGTTCTGGGTACCTCGAGGGAGGCAAAGACAAGTCTAGCTCAAAGAATTTTTAAAGATGAAGAGCAATGATATATACTGAAAAATCCTATGGTAATACGATTTATTACCACATTTGTGCTTCTGAGGAGGTAACTCATAGTGGATTATCCATTTGGGGATGTTGGAGCGGGAGGGGGCTGAGTTTCCCTTTTGAGAAGCCATTAGTTCACTACGTGTGATCTCTGAACCTAGCAGGGACTCTCAGTGTCCATCCCGGGCCAGGAGAATGGACGCCAGAAGGTACCACTTTGTCTTTTTACCCACTCAAATCATCTGTAACTTCTTAACTGGCTGCATTTCTGAAGCTGGATGGCAGCCCCTTCCTGCGTGCTTGGCCGTTGGGAACACACGCAGCGTGTAAGCGCGAGCGTTCGTAATGGGGTCCCTTCCACTCTGGCCCCGACATTGGCAGAGGCACTAGTAAAGACTAACGCCCTGCATATGTTCTCCGTTCCCTCTGGACCTGCCCTGTGTGGTTCATTGTTTGCAAGGATTCTTGTTCACAAACATTTGTACATTTACGGCATGTGTGAAGGCCACGTCTTTGTATATCTGGTGTTTAGCCTGGCCCCCGGCTTGTGACAAACCCTTAAAATGTGCTTGCTGTTGGGCAGCCCGGGTGGCTCAGCGGTTTAGTGCCGCCTTCAGCCCAGGGCCTGATCCTGGAGACTTGGGATCGAGTCCCACGTTGGGCTCCCTGCATGGAGCCTGCTTCTCCCTCTGCCTATGTCTCTGCCTCTCTCTGTCTGTGTCTCTCATGAATAAATAAGTAAAATCTTTAAAAAAAAAATGTGCTTGCTGTTGCATCAATGGGCATTGGCAGTGCTACCTTTTCTGGGTTTCGTCCAGCTGTTGCTATTCTTATTGGAATTCACCTGTCCTTTCTTTAGAACCTACCTCCATCCTAAGTATCATTAATATTCTCTTCATCCATCAGGCTTGTTTTTAATCCGCTGATTATGTTAATTGCACGTTGACTTAGGTGGTAAGTCCAGGTGCAGAATACCTGATGGCTTCTATCCCGCCATCTATTACCTGAGGTCTAAGTGATGGCTTTGGGATTTCTGGCTTTGGAGGCAGGCAGCGTGGATCACAGCTCCATGCCGTTCCTCCCCTTCTCTGTTACTCTGGCATGAAATGAATCCCACAAGCCCCCCCCCCCCCCCTGCTGCCTTACCTGTAAAGTGATTTTAATAACTTCATTTGCCGCCATGCAGGGCTGTGGGGAGAGCTACCTGAGATCGCTTCCACGGAGGGAGCGGCACGGTATCTGGCACCTGGGAAGCACTCAGGGAGCGACAGTTACTCGTATGCACCGTGGTTACCAGGTAGCCAGAGGCCCAGAAGCAGGAGAGCAGCAGTGCTTGTCGGCAGGTGCCCGGCTGTGGCTGTCCTCCCGTGTTGTAGTGTCCGTGCTGGGGCAGGGGCTCTTGTACCTATGCATTTAACCTCCGTGCTTTTTTTTTTTTTTTTTAAGATTTTATTTATTCAAGAGAGAGAGAGAGAGAGAGAGGCAGGCAGAGAGGCAGAGACACAGGCAGAGGGAGAAGCAGGCTCCATGCAGGGAGCCCGACACGGGACTCGATCCCGGGTCTTCAGGATCAGGCCTTGGGCCGAAGGCGGTGCTGAACCACTGAGCCACCCGGGCTGCCCAACCTCCGTGCTTATTTGATCTCTCCACGCTTTCTTTCTCATCCCTCGGGCTTCTCCGGGGAGGCCAGGGAGGGTTTTCTTGCTCATCTTCTGCTGTGCTGTAGGAACAGAACGTCCCAGCAGAGGGGTGAAGAATTAGATTACCTTTTGGGGATATTTCAACAGGTGGCAAAACAAGTTCCCGGTCCCTGCCCCGTCCTGTCTGCCCCTGGATGTAGTGTGTTAGGTACTGAACTCAGCCGTGGGGAGGAGGTCATGGTCGCTGCCATCCGTGGGTGCTCCCCCCCTGCCCCTGCCAGCCAGGGGGGCATCTTGGCCTCAGAAGGGAGCCTGTGGATTGCAGGCTCCTTGCCCCCACAAGCTTGGGGCGGGGGCGGCTGGAGAGGTGCCCTGCCTCCCCTTGGCGCATCCTCTCTCCTCACTGGTCGCATCTTGACACCAGGGACTTAGCGGGAGCCACGTGCGGGACCCAGGGCGGGACGGGCACAGGTCGGGGCAGAGCTGCAGCTCTTCAGCCTCATTCCTCACCAGCCCTTCTTCGCCCTCTCCTCCTCCCAATCCAGGTGTACGTGTCTTACGACTACGGAAAATCATTCAAGAGAATTTCCGAGAAGTTGAACTTCGGCGAGGGAAACAGCAGCGAAGCGGTGATCGCCCAGTTCTACCACAGCCCCGCGGACAACAAGCGCGTAAGGAGGCGGGCCCTCCCGCCGTGACGTCATGGGGCTGCACCCCAGGGTGATCGCCCTGCCCAGGCGGCGCCGGGACAGGCAGCGCGCCCCGTAGCGGGGGGGCTGTTTTTCTGCTGTCCTGAGAGTTTGGCAGGACACGGTTCTCAGGGTGGAGCTGGGTACCGGCCGGGCAGGATTTCTGGGCAGACAGTGTCAGGCTGAAGCATAGGAAACCCCCAACTGGTGGACTGCCCGACTCATAGGTGGGAGAAATGGGACCCAGGTCTACTGGGCCCCTCACTGCCGCCATCCAGTGCAGGTCTTCCAGGGTGCCTGCCCAATGCCCGGTTTTGTTGGCATCACCAGGTTTTGTACGTCACGTGTGTATGTACGCGTGTGTGCACCCCTCCCTCCAGCCCCTAACGGTATAGGAAAGAACACCAAGGCCAGGGGGCACGTACTGCTGTGCCTCTTGACTTGTTTTCCCAGCTGGCTGGCCTGGCTTTGTCTCTGCAGTAGAACCCGGGCAGTTTGATTTGGAGGAAGCATTGATTCGAGATTGCCCTGGGCCTCCAGAGAGGTGGAGGGAGAGGTGGAGGGGGAGGCTGACGCAGATGCCGGGAGGGCAGGAACCAGGCAGCCTGCAAGGCTGGGTAGCTTTAGCTTGCAGAGTTGTATTTGATTGCTTTCTTCGCCACTCTGGTGGGCCGTAGCACGCTCAGGAAGCCCTGAGATGAGGGTAGCTGCTGCTTGTGGCTCATCTCATCCGGCAAGGAATAAGATCCACAGGGTCCTCTGGCCAGGTGCCCCCCGCCACCCCCCCAAGCACTGGCTTCTCAGGTTGCCTGTATTCAAAATATTTAGCCACTGGAATGGCACCGACCAATCAGAGCAGACCCCGTCTGGAGGGAGCTGGGTCCTGAAGGCCACCCTGCCTGGCCAGGCATTAACCTTTTAGTTGCTGGATTGTGAACAGGCCTTGGGGAAGGGGCCGGGCCACTTGGTCCTTGGAGAGGCCCCTTCTGGGTTTCAAGGAAACAGCTATTTACTAATGGGTATAGAGGCAATTGTTTTCTGGTATTTGTTTGTTTTTAACTAGAGCAGCAGTTAGGTACAGCTCCCCTCTTACCTAACTCACTCCACGATGAAAAGCAAGAAAGAGGTGTGGGAGGGAATTGACTCTGTAGACAAGACTGCCAGCCCTCTGTACCGCCCCTCGCCCTGTACTTGGTCAGGCAGGCCTGGCACTTGGGGCTCCCAGAGTTGGGTGAGGCCCTGCTGCCTGCTTTGCTCTTGGCTTCTGAGAAGTGAGGATCCCTGCCTCAGGGTCCAGCCTGCTGGCTGGCTTTGCCACCTCTCCCAGGGCTCAGATCTGTACACCCCCTGCCTCCAGGAAGCAAATCACATTCCGATTACTCACCTTGTCAGGATGGTACCTGTTGATTATTATTACCATTGTCTTTACACATTGTCTCAGAGCTAACTCTTACTGCATCTGTGGCTTTGGAACCATCCCATGGTCCGTCTGGAATCTTCCTTTTCAGCTCCATCTGCCCCGTCCTCACCTCCTACCACAAGGGCACAGATGTCTGCAAGCAGGTCCCGACTTCCTTCCTGCTTGTCATGGGTTGTGGTGAGCAGCTGCTAGGCCCACACACATGTCTGAATAGTCAAAGACAGGAAAGATGATGTTCTGGGCTTGCAGAGCAGGTGGGGTGCAGGGGGAGTGGGGCTTTTGGAGTATGAGGTCTGGAGAAGGAGCAGGCCAGGGGCCAGGGTGCTGGGACAAGCAAGACGAGAACGCCAGGGATGGTTGTCGAGGAGTTGGGGGTACTAGAAGGGCCAGGTATGCCTGCAGCCTGGGTCCCCCTACGTGGGAGGTGGTGCATCTTGGGCTTCACATGGGAGAGACGGACATGCTTTGGCATCGGTGGGGAGATGGAAGCGGAGCCGCCTTCTTGGAGAACCTAGTGACAGGTGGAGCGCAGGCCTGGAGCAGGCTGAGCGGGGTTGGAGACACAGCGTTCTCTGCTGAGTTTCTAGTTCCCCAAAGAAGGGCGTTACCCCTCCCTAACTTCTCAGGAAGGAAACCGTGACTCTTACTATGCCAGTTACTTCTGTTACATTTGCCTTTGTCCTTTGGAAGGCACATTGCCTCACCAGACCTACCACTTCCTGAGAAACTTCACACAGGCCGGGTGCCTTGCCATCAACACCGCCAGGGTGCTGGGCTCAGGCACATCCCCCCATGTGAAGATGTTGGGGGTGCTGTCAAGGAGAGTGGTTTGAGATGGTTGAAATGACCGTTAGCAGCTGCTTAGAAAGGTGAGGATGTCACGCAAGGGCCACGTGGAAGTCTGAGGCGATGTGTGCCTGTGGAAGGAGAAGGGAAGTGCTGGTTAGGCAAGCAGCTCTGGTCCAGTGGTTTTCTTTGCAATGGAGATGGAGTGGCTCTGGGGTCATGTGAGTGTTTGGGTCTATTTTCGCACCTGCTGGCAGCCCCACTTCCTTCTTCTCAGCCTTGTGTGCTGCCTCCCTGAAGCAGTACGCGGCCCTGGCCACCTGGCAGTGCTGCCGGCCCCACAGCGCACCCGAGGTCAGCCATGCAGTACGTCTGGGCTCCTTACAAAAGGTCCCAGAGTGTGTGCAGCCAGGCTTCCCAGCCTTGAGAGGTGGTCCCCCCCCCCGCCCCCACCAGCCTTCGTTTTCACCTTCTGGAGGTATATTCCTTCATTGCCTTCTCTGTCCTTCCTCTTGTCTTCGTGCCCACTCAGACCTGGAGAGAATCGCTTAGGCTAACGTGGAGGTGCGTTCTGTAGCTTATTTTAGGTTTCTGGAGGTATCAGTATTTTAAGAGGAAACATTGTGTGAAGCCAAAAGCTGGAATATTCAGTGATTGCAAACAGGGTGGGAGAGATGGGGGTGTCTGAGGACACTTCTGAAATCACACAGTCTAGGAAGTCACCTGAGGGGTCAGCTCTGCTGGCAAATCTGTGGGGCTGGCCTGGAGTAGCCTGGACAGGCAGGCAATCTAGGGACCTAAGGGCAGAGTGGGACCTGCTGGATCTCCTGTTACGTGCACTTCATGTTATGTAACAGCCGGGCCTGACCGAGGACTGGGGAATAAGAGGTTGATCAGAGAAGTAAAGACTTCACGGGGTACTTGGGGTTGGAAATGGAGCTTCGAGGATGGGCATGGTTCCTGTAGCTGAGCAGAGCTGGTGGTGTCCTCGACGGGGAGAAGGCCGTGGGCGAGAGACTTCAGGGTGCCAGCGTGGGGTTTCTGTGCAGGCAGCGCGGAGTCTCCCTTCTTGGGTGGAGGGTTTGCGCTGAGGCGTTCCGAGTTACCAGGCAGGCCCCCAGCTGAAGATGGAGGAGTTTGCTTTCTCAAAACCTCCAGGACTGTAGGGAGCTGTGGAAGGATCTTTGAGTAGGGGACTTGCTGTAAATAGAGTCTCCTAGGGGGAATCCCTGGGTGGCTCAGCAGTTGAGCTTTGCCTTTGGCTCAGGGTGTGATCCTGGAGTCCCAGGATCGAGTCCCGCGTCGGGCTCCCTGCATAGAGTCTGCTTCTCCCTCTGCCTGTGTCTCTGCCTCTCTCTCTGGGTCTCTCCTGAATAAACAAAATCTTAAAAAAAAAAAATAGAGTCTCTTAGGGAAGCATGTGTCCTGGCAAGATGCAGGGTGGATTAGAGAGGGCTCAGCAAGTAATGAGGGGGGTGGGTCATAGAATATAGATAATAAAGTTGCCCAGTGACTCAGCCAGACCTTGTGTCACCCTTTGAATGTTCCACACCCTGCCAAGCCCTGGAAGGCACAAGATGGACTGGAAGCCCAGCGCCTGGCTCCAGTTTGCTCGTGGGCCCCAGCAGGGAGTGGGCCGTACTGGTGGCACTGGGGATAAACAGGAGAGCAGAGATCATGAAAAGGAAAACATAACTGGGTGTGTGGCTGGGGGGAGTGGGGCCGAGGCAAGGCAGTGGCCTGAAAACCCAGCTCGCATTGTGAGAACTCAGGCCGGGAGCAGGTGGGTGGCATGGGGAGAACTAGGGACCTGGTGGGAGGGCCTCGGAGGACTCAGTTCTGGCCATGCTGAAGCTTCTTGGTGCATCAGAGGGGGCATGCCGAGGAGGGCAGAAGTCAGGGTTCGACTGGGCGGCGGGGAGCGGATGAAGGCAGGGAAGGAGCCAGAGGAGAGGTCCAGGGCAGGGTGGTCAGGTGTGGGGCAGGGAGGCCTGGCAGGAGGCGGTGTGGCAGGAGGGCCAGAGGAGGGAGCTGCCACCCAGGCTTGGGGGGGGAGGGTAGAAGAGGCACCTGACTGAGTCCAGGGGCGTGGTGTGATCCCTAAGCATTACATTCAGGAAATCCTGCCTCTTTGTTGGAGGAAGAGAAGAGAGGATTGGTGAAGCATTAAGGGGTGGGCTCTGACCCAGCCAACATCGCCCTAGATGCTGCCTCCTGGGTCACCGTGGGCACTTGACCTCTGGATGCTTCAGTGTCCTCATTAGTAAAGGAGGATAACACTCTACCTAACGCGCTGACTGGCTGCGCGTACCAGAGGGCGAAATGAGCTAAGCCATGCACAGGTCATCCACTCACATGCTACGTGTCCTAAGAAGTGTTCCTGATGCATCTGTTTTCTTTGAATAAACTCTATACCCAACATGGGGCTCGAACTCATGACCCCGAGATCAGGAGTCCCAGGCTCCACCTTCTGAGTCAGCCGGGCTCCCCTGTTCTGGACGCATTTGGCCATGATCACGAACGATGTGACGATACATTTCTATACCTGGCTTACGTGATTTTTAGATCTTCAAATGTGAGACCCTTAGAAGCCATGGAATAGATTTCTGGAGAAATCTTTTCACACTGAGAGCACTCCCTTCCCTAGGCATATTTGTTAAGTTGAATGGCCTTGGCCCTGGTTCCCCTGGAGAACTCCTGAGGTTGGCAGTCACTCTGCAGTCACACTGGTCCAGAGCCTAAGTAAGGTGAAGCCCCTGCTCGCCAGGGCTCTCCCTGCTGGGCCCACAGCGAGTCGGCCGGCCCCGCTGGCAGCTTGGTCCTCAGAGCTGCCCTGTCACCTGGCTGGCTCATCTTCCTAGATGGGAGTGGTTGTAGGGATTTCCCTGGAAAGACATGCCCCGTAGGTGCCCAGGGGATGGAGAGAGAGAAGCAGTCTGGTCTGTGTGCAATTTGTTTTTAATATTTATTCATGAAAGACACAGAGAGAGAGGCAGAGACATAGGCAGAGGGAGAAACGGGCTCCCTGCGGGGACCCTGATGCGGACTCGATCCAGGGTCCCCGGGATCACAACTTGAGCCAAAGGCAGATGCTCAACTACTGAGTCACCCAGGTGTGGGCAGCCAGTCTGAAGAGGGGGACTTCTCTGTCCCAGCTACCAATAGCCAGCCACCCTCTGGTTGTACCTGAATGACTTGCTGGAGCGTGAGAATGGCCAGGTCAGTTGAAAGGAAAAAAATAGAGAGGCTTGTCTCGCTCTGTTACCTGGTTAAAGGGGAGCCTGTCCTGCACCCCCTCTTTCCCTGAGCCTTGCTTGGTGTGCACAAGAAGATGGAGAGGAAGCTGTGTTGAGTCCCCGCGGCGGGGGCCAGAGCGTTGGGCGGCCCTGGCCAGGTCCCGCTCTGAGCTCACCTGTTTTTCTCTTGCAGTACATCTTTGCAGACGCTTATGCCCAGTACCTCTGGATCACCTTTGACTTCTGCAACACCCTCCAAGGCTTTTCCATCCCGTTCCGGGCAGCTGATCTCCTTCTGCATAGCAAGGCCTCCGACCTCCTCCTGGGCTTTGACAGGTCTCACCCCAACAAGCAGGTAAGAGAGCTCCTGGAACACAGGTGCGGCTTCTCGAGTTTTCTGTTCTGGCTCTGTGGATTAGGTGTCCTTTGAGTGACCTCCCCAGCCCCTCCCTCCTCCTCTCCCCAGCTTTGCCTTTGTACTATTTCACTTCCCAGGGCTGGGGACAACTGTATCTCCCTGGCGTGCTCAGTCTGCATCCCGGCCAGGGGTGCCATGCCAAACGCTCGGTAGGCCCTGTTAGTTAAACATCATACTCTTCTCAGCGTAGATGTGCCTTTGTGGGTTTTTGGGTGAGTTGGCGGGGGTGGGGTACACCGAAGCTCTGGAAATTAATCCGAGAGAGCCAGCTAAAGAAATCTGGAGTCTGAGCTCTGCTGGGACCTCTTACTGAATTTCTGTTCTACGTTTCCCGTCTTCCACCTTAAACACGCTGCTTTTGTACCATTTATTTGAACTTGCCATTAACTTTAATTTTTTTCCTCTGTGTGTGTGTGCATATAATATAAATGTGTGTATTTTTCTCCTTAAATTTGAATTTAGAGGAATGCGAGATGGGGAGAGAGCCCAAGTAGGATTTATATCTCAAGGTTGAAACTTGGCAAATGGAGACTGTTGGTCTGATATAATCCCGTGAAACCCGTAGACCCTGTAGGATCGGGTTAACTGAGTTTTGAGCGGCTTGGCTCAGAGGAACCCTGGAACATTTCTTTTTCTTTGCAGGTTGTTTAACCAAAACATGATCTGTTTCCCTTTACATGCCTGAGGGAGGTACCCAAGTATGGAGTGGGTCGGTTTACCAGTGTAGGTGGATTCATGTTGTTTTTGGTCTTCTGGCGCTTAGTACCTGGTCACCAGGGCCAGAGGAACTCTCAGGTGATGTGTCTGGAAGCTCAGGGGCTGTGGCGGAGATCGGCAAGTCAGTCACTCGTGGCCTTATGCTTCGTATTCAGGCAATGCCCCCTGGTGCTCTTTGCCTCTGCGCTTAGCCAGCGTCCTCTCTGTTCACCTTTGATCACCGTGGCCCATTAACGGGTTTTTCAGGACACCGTTTCCCACGCAAGAAAGTAGAGTGTCATCGTTTTGTTTTTACTATCCGTGAGGGCTAATCTTGAGTGAACTGTAATTTCTGATGATCCGTAAATGGAAGACAAGACCCATTTTTCCTTGCCATCATTCCTGAGGCCTTTGTAACCGCGGAGAGGGACATGAGGGTGGGAATCTGGCCTTCCCTCCCTGCCATTGTTGGCATTTGGAGGGACTGAGCCGGCTTTGGCAACCTCCGGGCATGTCTTCACGGATAGTGTGTTATCTACGGCGGGGGTTTGATGGCCAGGCCGTCTGGGCTGTGCCTGCCTCTTGCATCCTCATCCCGTCATGTCCTTTTGGTCTTTGCAGCTGTGGAAGTCTGACGACTTTGGCCAGACCTGGATCCTGATTCAGGAACACGTGAAGTCCTTTTCTTGGTAAGTCATCTACTTCCTGAAGATGTTTGAATTACATCATCACCTTTCTTTGGTTGTGGCTCCTTCGTGGAGGACAGACCTGCCCCCACCTGAAATGTGGAGTGTGTGGTTCAGGAAAGGCATGTTCCAGGGCTTCATGAAGTAGGGCTTCATGAAATGCATTGGGAAGTAGGGCTTCAGGTACGACACACTCACTGTGCAGGGTGGTGAGGGATGAGACAGGAAGGTTATTTGTGAGAGAAGTGACAGAGCTTTTGCATTTTTCAATCCATCAGGGAACCCAGGGGAATCTCGAAGCACTTGCATGGATTTGAATTTCTAAAGACCTTCACTCTTCGAGCATGATAACAAAAGTGGGGATTTTTCTCTGTATAAAATTTATTCACTTGTTCATTCATAACGTTATTTTTTGGGAGGATGTCTGCTGAATATAAAACATGCTAGATGCTTTAGGGTAGAAGTTGAATAATTTATGGATCTAGTTATTAAGGAGACTGCAGCTTAGGTGGTAAGAAATGACATTTTGTGCATGTAACACTCATCATGAAAGCAGCACAGATTGCACGGACATAGCGGGAGAAGCGAGAGGAGGGACATAGTCTTTCCAGATGGGAGGACCGCACACAGCTCCACAGAGGTGGCTGCCGTTGAGCCAGGACGTATCCGAGGGGCGTGGAGGTGTGCAGGGCGGGGATTGCAGACAGGAACAGAATGGCCAAAGGCAGAGACCAGGCACCGTGGCACTTGGGTGGAGAACACACAGTCTTACTTCTGGACAGTGTGTTGGGTGAAGTTTGGGAAGGGATGTCGGGATCTGAATCTGCAGTGCTCAGTAAAGGAATCTGGACCGAATTGTGAAAGCAGTGAGGAGCCACTGAAGGGTTTTGAGAAGGAGAGCTAAATCCACAGGGCTGTACTTGAGGACGCACAGTGGTCTCTAGTCTACTTGCTTCTCATCTTTCGTGGTTACAGGTTGCAGTATGGGATCTGAGAAGGTGCATTCGTACCTGTGTGGACGGATGTGCAGAACAGGTGCCTGGGAGCAGACGTGCTGGGTCGGCAGGTCACTTAGCCCAGTCACACTCAGCCCGGTCACACTTCCAAATTGATTCTTGACCTTCCCTGCCCCCAGTCAGCTGCCCCTGGAATCTTCCCCATTTCCTTTCTAGTTGCTCAGGCCAAGAGCTGGGAGTCATCGCTGATTTCACGTTTGTTTCATGCTTCAGTTTCCACCTGTCAGGAAATCCTGTTGTCTCTATATTCGATTTATATCCAGGATCTGCGACTCAGCTACAGCTTTACTCCAAGCCATCATTGTCACTCATTAGTTCGTGGCGGTCTTTCTGCTACTACTTCTGTCTTTCTACAATTAATTCTCATACGTGGCCAGGTTGATCTTCCTAAAAACAGGTCAGAACATGCTGTTCCTCTCTTTGCCTTGAACACTCTAATATGCGCCATCACTACTCTCAGATTAATGCCGAGCACATTCCTACTACAGGGCCTTTGCACTTGCTTTTCCCCCTACCGAGACTGCTCTTCTTCAAGATATACTTATTGTGTACTCCCTTACCTTATTCAAATAACACTTTCTAACTGAGGCCTATCTTTAGGATCCTATTAAAATTGTAACTACTCCCTGTGCCCTGATCTGTTCTTTTTTTGTATAACACTTACCACATTCTAATATGGGATTATTATGCTTACTGTTTGTCTTTCTCTCCCTCTCTCTTTTGAAAAGATTTTCTTTACTTATTTGACAGAGAGAGAGAGAGCACAAGCAGGGGGAGTGACAGAAGGACAGGGAGAAGCAGGCTCCCCGCTGAGCAGGGAGCCTGATGTGGGGCTTGATTCTAGGACCCTGGGGTCATGACCTGAGCTGAAGGCAGATATTTAACCGAAGGAGCCACCCAGGTGCCTCTGTCTGCCTCTTTTATAGAAAGAAAGCTCCACAAGGGCAGGGGCTTAGGCCAGTTTTGTATTCTGATATAACCCCAGTGAATAAAGCATTAAAATTGTGACTTTGGTAGAGATCATCAAATCTGTACAGAGTGTCAAATTTTGCTCTCACCTCAGTAACACAGGAGGTTAGCCAATGTGTTAGGCAAGACATAGTATCTCAGTGTAGTCTTAGTTTGAATTTTTCTTATTACAAGTGAGTTTGAACATCTTTTTAACTGCTTAAGGGTCATCATTATTATTTTTTTTTAATGACATGTCTGTTCATGCCCTTTGCCCTTTTTCTATTGAATGGTTAGTCTTTTCATTGACTTCTAGTAGCTCTTTGTATATTTGAGGATGGTCCTTTGTGACATGAGGTATCACATGTGTATGTTCACTTATAATTCTCAGCATATCTTTTGTATTTTCAGTTTTCCATGTGGTTTTTAAACCTCATGAAATGCATTGGTACATGTTGTCTGTGCTGCTTCTAGCTCTGTTGGAAGGGGAATGTCTTTGAGTTGGTATTGCTTCCTTGGTGAATGAGGACAGTGAAGATGGAGGGAGCACCGGGAGGGGCCTTACAGCCGAGTGTCTTCAAGCTCCATTGGAGTTCCTTATCAAAGAGGGCGCCTGTTTCTGATCCTTCTGTTTGTTTTTTTCTCTGGGCAGAAGAAATTCACTAGTGTCGTAGTGAAATTGTAACCACACTCTTAGCCAAGTATAACCTCCACCCAAGGAGTACCATTAGAACTTCCTTTTGTTTTATTTGAATTTTAAGGGGACAGATTGTCCTTTTATCTGTTTAGGTAACCATATATTAGGGGGGCACACTGGAAGGATGGCTGAGTAAAGGAACACCACGTTTGGGGATTTGTAGGTTGTACTTGTGCCTCTGTGCATGGATGCAGATATCTTAGGGGAAAGGACTGGCCTATCTTATTTTAGATAATGACATGTCTGGTGTCAGGGAATTTCAGGCCGTTTGGAGGATTTTTCCCCTAGGATTTCCCATAGTGAGTGAGAGTGTAATCTAACTTCTCTGAGAAGAATGGCATACATTTATTCAATAATGCGTGGCAGCCTGGGAGCAGCAGGAGGCCGGAAAACCAGTGATCTGTGTAATCCAGAGCTGGAGATTGGCAAGACAGGACAGTGGAAGGGCGGTCGGGGAGGGACTCCGGGATGCCCCATGGAGCATCGCTCATGGGCTGTGGGTGAGGCCAGGTGAGGACTGGTGCCTGTGCCCAGAGATGGAGCAAGGTTTGGGATTTTCAAACGAGGGCAAAGGCAACAGTAGTGGAAGGCTAGCGATTGCAAAGTAGCAGCATTTGTAGGTGGAGTGGCTCTCAGAAACGGGAGGTCCATGTAGGGATCCTGGAAGAGAATTGGGAGGGAAGCCACAGCTCTTTCTAGCTCTAGATACCGCTTTTGTTTAGGAAAAGAATAACAGAGGTGAGCTCAGTTTCAAAAATTATCTGAGTGAAGGTCCCTTCCTCTCTGCCTTTTTAAAAATACCCAGCAGCTTTGTTTTAATTTGCATATCCTCTAGGGTAGAGGAAGTACTTTAATCAGTACTTCTAATTGTGGAAGAGAGAGAACATGCCACCACCCCCACACAGACGCACACAGAGAATCTGATGATGAGCAGTTGTCTCCTGCACTGGGACGGAGGCCGCTAGCTTCTCCAGTGCCCTGCTGAGACTCCAGATTGTGGGGAGAAAGTCGCATCTTTTGGTTTTCTATTTCCTATCTCCCCTCCTTCCTTCCTTCTCATGCTTTTGACAGTGTATGTTTGAAGGAATGTTATTTCAGAGCCTTCGTCACCCTGAGAGCCATCGTGCATATGGCGCTGTGCCAAGACAGGTACAGAAGTGAGTCCTGCTTTTGCTTGGGTCATCCCTGCGTCCCCCCCTCTGAGGCTCTCTTAATTTGCCCCATGCACTGAATGGTCTGCCTGGCCTGGTATCTTGTTGAGTGCTAGGAAATCTAAGGCAGATTAGTCCTCCTCCCAGCTACCATTGGGGGCCTCATTTGGAGGGGACCTCAATTCTGAGATTGTTCTCGAGAGAGTTCGACTTAGTCACCCTTACAGCATTCAGTTTGGAAATGCACTGAATTTGTGGACCACCTTTGTACTGTGGTGCAGGAATTCAGTGCAGCAAGATTCAGCTCAGCTGGGAGCCCTGTAGGACAAAAAGAAATAGAAGACGTGGCCTTTAAAGGCATCTGTACTCTCTCTAGGAAGCTCAGACACGTTATGATGAACAATAGGACGTGATGAATAAGATGCACCACTGAATTAAGCACCGCTGTATAAAGTCACAGGAGTGATTCCCACATCCACCCACCTAAGGCAGTTTTCTACCTTTGTTTGAAACTCACGTAAAATTAATATGTAAGCTTTGAAATTGAGCACTGCACGGCTACACTGCGGGTATTGGGAGAAGGAAGGAGAGCTTTGGGGGAGGGCTTCCTGTAAGAGGGGGCTTGAACAGGACCTCAGAGGATGAGTAGGGTTTGGACATGCAAATCGGAGTGCCTGCAGGGGTGGGGGTATCCCTACAGAGGGTGCTCTGTTGGCAGAGCACAGGGAGCAGGAGAGCGATGAGCTCTGAGCTTCTGAAGGACACTGGGGAGATAAGTACACGTGAGAAAGAGTTTGTGTAGGGCAGCCCCAATGGCTCAGCGGTTTAGTGCCGCCTTCGGCCCAGGGCGTGATCCTGGGGACCCAGGATCGAGTCCCATGTTGGGCTCCCTGCATGCAGCCTGCTTCTCCTTCTGCCTGTGTCTGCCTCTCTCTTTCTCTGTGTCTCTCATGAATAAATAAATTAAAAAAAAAAAAGTTTGTGAAGGAGCCTCGCAGAGCGTGACTTTTTACTGGCAGGATGAGTCCTGATTGCACGATGGGTGACAGCGCCACAGGATGGACCAACAGCGGGGGCAGGGTCCCTTAGCAAGGCTGGGCTCGCTGGTTCCTCCTGTGGTTTCTTCTAGAGCTGTTGTGAGAGCCTCCCGCCCCGGGAAAACACACTCCTTGGTTCTCTGAGGTTTGTAACTTGAGGCCAGAAACTCAGCTGACAGCCCCAAGCAGTCCCTTGCCTATTGATTCCAAAATATCCCGCCTTGTACTGTTTCCTCTCTTTGCTCTTCTCAAGCTTGGCCAAGGCCAGCCTTGAGGGAGACCCAGGGCGCTTTGAAGCACAGTAGCAACCTAAACCCTGGGCAATGGCAGTCCCTTCCCGTCTTTGAGCCGAGGAGCACACAAAAGGCTCCGTTTGTGGCAGAGTGGATCATTTGTCCCACCGACCATCGTGTCCTTAAATTCCAGTTGGCTGTCTGCATGGCCGAGCCTCCGTGCCTCTTGTGGTGACACACGGAGATGACAGCAACCGTTCTCTCTCCCCCAGGGGTATCGATCCCTATGACAAGCCCAACACCATCTATGTGGAGCGGCACGAACCCTCCGGCTACTCCACGGTTTTCAGAAGTACGGACTTCTTCCAGTCCCTGGAGAACCAGGAGGTGATCCTTGAGGAAGTGAGAGACTTCCAGCTCCGGGACAAATACATGTTTGCTACAAAGGCGGTGGTAAGTGGACGGCGCTCAGGAACACGTACACTCCTTCCAAGTTTCCCTTCTCAGGGTCTGAATCCTGGGACCGAGCAGGTGAGTTTACATCTTGCGGGGAGAGGGTCAGTGCGGCCAGGAGCTTGACTGAGGGACATTGGACGTAGACAGACATTCCTGTGGGGCTTGGGTGGTCTCGGAAGGTCGGAGGAGTGGAGAAGCGTGGACAGCCCTTCTGGATGTCTCTGGGCTCTTGGGATTTGGTGGTTTCCTGGTAGCCAGGCATCCTTGTCAAACACAAGTGTCTTTGAAATCCCAATTGAAAGAACCCTGAGAGGAGAGGTGGGGATCATTGGCAATTTTCTTTAATCTCGCTGCCTGATTTCCTTTCAGATTAGGCGGATTTCGTTGAGAATTTTGGACACATGTTAATTTCCATGGCTAATAGAATGTGTAGTCATTGGCTAGTGGGAGTTAATGCTCTAAGAAAAGCAGTGATTAAGCTTCCAGCTGTCAGTAAGTAGCTTAATTCTCAGCCTTTGGGAAAATCTTCCCCTTGATTTCACGTGTTGGATGGAGCCAGATGCTGGAACGGGTGGGGGCTTGCTCATTTAAAACTAGAGTTGATTATTTAACAGGGCTTGCCTTGCGACTGTATCAAGTTGCAAGTGGCAACTGTCCTGCCCTGTGTGAAGGGAAAAGCCCCCCTGAGGAGAGCAGATTGGGCTCCTCTTCCTGGAGTGCTTATTTTCTCAATGGTGGCCATTCCCTCCTTGACTTCGGGCTCTGAAGACGGTCTCTGGTCACTGGCAGGTGCTTTGCCTTCCATCACAGATAACCTTGTGGAACTAAAATCAGGTGTAATGTTTTCCCCTAGGTTCTTGCTTAAAATACATGAATTGGTAGCAGGCCAGGCAGAGGCAGGCCGCTCCCTTTGGAAGGATTCCAGGGTAGAGACAGGACCTCCCCAGCAAGGAAAGCAGAGAATCAGGTTGAGATGAGAGGAAGAGAAGATGTGGGGGGCTAAGGCAAGAGTGGTTCTCCATTATATACTTTGCAAAAAGTTTTTAGAGTCACTATTAATTATAGTGGTTTGTCTTCTGTTAGGCTGTTTGCATTGGGTCACTTGCCAGATAGTTCCTTTCCTGCCCTGCTTATCACTTTATCTCCTTCTCTTATGTACACACACACACACACACACACACACACAGGCCATGGCCCAGAAGACAGGCATCCTTGGATTGCCTTGGGCCGGGGTGCAGAGAGGAGAGGGGTTGGGGAATGTGGGGTGAGAAGCCAGGCCTGAGCACTGATACCTTGTGACATCCTCTTGGCAGTCCTGAGGTCCTGGAGTGTTCCTGGGTCTTCTCTGTTTTAGTTCTTTGGGCCTGAATTTATTTATATGATTTTAATTTCTTGAATTTAAGATGCAGTAACTGATGCCTAGATTTGCCTACTGACTGATTGGGGCTGAGGCGGAGAGCCCTCATTGCATTGCTCTTGCCCCTATTTTTTCTGGATCTTACACCTAAGAGCTGAGGCGGGAGCTTTCTAAGCCCTCCATTCCTACCTAATAGCTATGTCTGTTCTCATGCCGTAGCTTATTTGCAGGGTGCTGGCAGCAAGTTGATTGTTATTCCTGGCCAGTGGTGAGCTCAGAGGCGGTGTCTGATGTAGTACCCAGATCTTGCACAATGCTTGATGTGTAGCAGATGTACAGTAGTTGAGTGAATGCCATCTTTGCCTGCCTGATTTAGAAAGCAGAGGCCAGTAGATTTTGGGAGGGAAAATTGGTGGTCTTAAATGATTGGTACTTTCAGAGTCAGCTTTCACCTCTCTGTGGTTTATTTACATGATGTTGGTGGCAAAACTGTATTTATGTGTTTGGCTTCATCCTTTAGCACGTGGACGGGCCACCAGATTCCAAGGTCAGTGGTGTTAATTAGAGACTCTAGGTCAGATGAGGTAGGCCACCACATGGAAAGATTTCTCAAATTGTGGTCTTAGGAGCACTCACGGTACCATCATGCAAGAGCACTTGTTCCAAAAGCAGATTTCAAGGCCCAAATGCATTTTGTTCTCAGCATTCCCTAGGCTGCCTAAGAAACTCTAAAATTTGAGAAGTTCTTCCCTGAGGCCTTCTGTAGGCAGAAGCTTGTGATAATAGTCAATTCTGTTATCAAAGGATCATTGTAGATTGGATGGGTTGATGAGGGAAGAGACCCAACTGGCAGTGGATGATAAAATGAGTGTTTTCTCCCTTTAATTTCTTCCTTTTTATTACATTAGACTGCTGAGCCATAAGGATAAACAACATTGGCCTTGGTTGGGTAACCATATCAGTGGGAGTGTTGAGGTCTGCAAGTATAACTTCTTATCTGGGGTGTGCTTAGCACTCAGGCTGCCTGGGTTTGGGGAATTCTGAGTGACCTTAATATTAAATGGATTCAAATCAAATTAGGAAAGTCAAGGAACTAATTGCAAAACCACAGAAAATTGGTTTTGGGTGATTAACTCTTTTGCTTTTTTCCAGTACCGTGAATGATTACAATTCTTTGCAAGTTAGCTTTTTAGAACATGTGGGGACAGCCATCTGGATTCTGGACTGGAAGTGGTATCTGAGTCTTCAGAATCCACCGGTGCCCTTTAGCCTGGCTCTTATTTCATATGTGGTTTGTGTCTGATGCCTTTTGATTTTTTTTTTTTTATAAAGATTTTATTTTTTTTTTTTTTGAGAGAGAGAAGAGGCATGTGCGAGAGCGTGTGGAAGGAGAGGGGCAGTAGTGGGAGAGGGAAAGTATCTCAAGCATAATCCACAAGGAGTGGGGAGCCCAGTGTGGGGCACTCGACCCCACGACCCTGAGATAATGACCCAAGCTGAAATCAGGGGTCAGTCACTCAACTGGCTGAGCCACTCGAGTGCTCCCCCTTGATTTTTTTTAACCCAAGCCTATACCTTTTATACCTTGTTTTTTGACATGAAGTTCACTTACTTGTCTCAATAGTCTACACTAAAATGATAGGCCAGTAAAGCAGCAATGAAGTGTTTCTGCAAACTGGGCCAACATCGAGTCGCTAACTTGGCAATATACAGCTGTTAGGTTCTTTCTGGTAGATAGCAATAGTTGCCAAAATGTTGGAAATAAGCGAGGACTAGCTGCTCCTCAGTAGCTTCGCCACCAGTAAATCATGAAAGCCAGGCATACACCTTTCTTGCACAATTGATGCATCAGTAAGCAAAGACCTAATGTATGGGCTTAATGGCATTTCCTCTCTTCTTCTGGGTGGTATAAACACAATGTTCTAGAGCAGGGATTGGCAAGCTATGGCCCTTCACTTGTTTTTGTCAATAAAGTTTTATTGAAACAGCTATGCTTATTTGCTTACAAGTTGTCTATCACTGCTTTTATGCTACAGTGACAGAATTGAATAGTTGTGTGGAGGCAGGATGGCCCACAACCCTAAAATATCTCTATATGGATCTTCACAGTAAACCAGTCCTGTTGTAGAGGCAAGATTCTGTTACCCTTTGCACTGGCATCAGGCAACCAGAATCCTCTTGTGTAAAAGCTTTTAAGGGACACCTGGGTGGCTCAGCGGTTGAGTGTGTGCCTTCAGCCCAGGGTGTGATCCTGGTTCAGGGATCAAGTCCCATGCCGGGCTCCTTGCAGGGAGCCTGCTTCTCCCTCTGCCTATGTCTCTGCCTCTCTCTGTGTCTCTCATGAATAAATACATAAAATCTTAAAAAAAAAAAAGCTTGATAAGTCATAGCCATTACCCCTAAAAATTCAGGTTACAGGCCTCCTTAAATTGTTATGCCCTGTTCATGCCAGAGTACTATCTTTAGGATATTCAAGCCAGTTCAGATATCTTGCATGCCACCGATCTCCCTTGAGAACTCATTTCTACTTTTGCCATTATGACTGACCAACCACTATTGAAAACCAATTTCTAATCTTCATTATGTTAATTTAAAGCCTCTAATGTTGATGGAGATAAAAAGACAACTTAGTTATTGTCTCAAGATGGTGGACTTTTTTTTTTTTTAAAGATTTTATTTATTTATTCACGAGAGACACAGAGAAAGGTAGAGACATAGACAGAAGGAGGAGAAGCAGGCTCCATGTGGAGAGCCCGATGCGGGACTCAATCCGGGGACTCCAGGATCATATCCTGAGCCAAAGGCAGATGCTCAACCACTGGGTCACCCAGGTGTCCCAAGATGGTGGGCTTCTCTATGAACAGTTAGCTGACCTCACTTGGGGTATGAATTTTAGGGTAACTGACCCAAACCAAGCTATTGACGAATCATTTTAATTATAACATTACTTAAATGTACGTAAACATAAAGCTAGGTATAAGCATGTAATGCATGTAATTTATACGCAACAATAAAACCCAAAAACCTTTACAGATTATAAATAAAACTGTAATACCAGTAAATTTAAAATTAACTTTTATAACACCTGTATTGAGATATAATTCATATGCCATAAAATTTGCCCTTTTAAGGTGTGTAGCTCAGTGGTTGTTAAGTATATTCACAAAGTTGTGTAATACTTATCACTCTCTAATTCCAGCACATTTTCATTGCCCCACACTCCCATTCCCTCCCATTCCCTCCCCTCCTAGCCTCTGGCAACCACGAATCTATTTTCTGCCTCGTAGAATTGCCTGTTCTGGACATTTTATGTAAAGAGAATCCTATACTATGTGACCTTACTTGTAACTGTTTTCTTTCCTAGTGTAATGTTTTCAGATTTCATCTGTGTTTATTGTGGATCATCAGAATTAATGTCTTTAGGTCCACTGCCTCTCTCTTTTGCCAGTTAAAATTTTTTGTTGAACCCCTTTGTGATTTTTTTCTTGTGAGTTCTTGTATTTTCCCACTCAAGAATTTGTATCTTGGGCGCCTGGGTGGCTGTCAGTTAAACAGCTGCCTTCATCTTGGGTTGTGATCCTGAGGTCCTGGGATCGAGGCCTGCATCGGGCTCCCTGTTCGATGGGGAGTCTGTTTCTCC